ATTTATCTTAAACTAAAAAAAATATGATTATAACATATCCAATAATACAACTAAATAAATAAGTTATGAATAAGGTTAAACTCCTATTTTGGTCCCTGAACTATTGTATGGACCTCCGATTTGGTCTCTGACTAAAGAAATCCTTAATTTGGTCCTTAAACTGTTATACGGACCCCTAAGTTGGTCCCCTAAACTATTATACGGACTCATGAGTTAGTCTCTAAACTATTATATGGATCTCTAATTTGATTCATACTATTTACTAATTTATCCTCAACTTGATCCTTCTGTTAAATAATAGCTCAGGGACCAAATTGAGGTGAAATTGTAAATAGTAAAGACCAAATTTGGGGTTCGTACAATAGTTCAAGGACCAACTTAGGTCAAATTATAAATAATGGGACCAAATTGGGGGGTCCACATAATAATTTAGGGACCAAATCAAAAATTTCTTTAGTTCAAAGACCAAATCAAAAGTATATATAATAGTTCAAGGACCAAAATAAAGATTTAACCTATAAATAATAATAGAGTAAAGAAAAGAAACTCCTTTTTAATACCTGCTCAAAAAGCTTAAAATTGTTAGAGAGAGAATGAGGATTGACTCTTTTGTACTTCGGACAAGCAAGCAATGGATTTACGCATATATATAATGCATAGATATAATATGAGAAATTGTTTAGAGAGAGAAAGAAGATTGACTCATTTCGTAAAAATCAAATCTTCTTTCTCTCACCTCTCTGTTTCTAGATGCCAACTCACAAATCACACTGCTAACACTCCTATTTTTTAACTCCTCTCTACAATACATACAATCTACACCTAAACAGCCTGCAAAATCTCTGCCTTTCTCTTCCTTCCCCTCTTGAACTCTACATCCGCAACATCCAACTCCATTAATAATATAGACTTTTACCTGACCTTTGTACTTGAAATCTATATTATCTTCAAAAACCCCATCAAAGATTGCACCTTTTTAACTTACTGTCATGCACCCAAGTTTCTTCCTTTCTCAATGAGTTGGGTTTTCTTAACACTTACTTGGGGGGTGAATGAATGGGGTGTACGTTTTCTCAGCTAGCTGCAAAATTTGCCTTCTTTCCTCCTTCCCCACCCACCTACCAGATCAAGAAACGTGAGAATGGCAAGCTCACTGTGGTCTCCTCTTCTTCTTCCATGCCAACTGTTGCTGATGACAGTTCCTTGGATGTGCTCTTGATTGACACTAAACGGGGGAACAAGATTGTGGCTTTTTATTTTAAAAACCCATATGCAAGACTCACTCTCCTCTACTCTCACGGCAATGCTGCAGACCTTGGCCAGCTCTATGACCTCTTTGTGCAGCTCAAAGTTAATCTCAGAGTCAATCTCATGGGGTTAGTATATTTTGCACTATCTCTTTTTCTGTTGTGCTTTTCTTGTCTATTTATCTCTCTTAATGGACCTCTCAAAAATTTTCACTTTCATTTTTAAGGTGGTGGTAAATCTTATCTTGTCATGGGATTTCTGGCTTTCTTCATTTGTTGGCAAAAAAAAAGAAAAATTATTTATTGTAGTTTTTTTTCCTCTTGTTGGGATAAGATCTACAATTTGTTCTTTTGAAGATATTCTTTGCGGAATTAGATTCAGAGTTTTTCCTTGTTGCAAAAATTAAAAAGTGACAGTACTGGATAGATTAGATAGTTTTCTATGTTCTCTTCTTGCTGGTCCACCATTTCTACTTTTTCTTGTTCTGCATCTCAACTTTTCTATATTTTTTCACTGCATAAAGTCATTTGCTAAGATGAGATTAGAATCCTTGCTCAGTTTTTTTCTCTTAGAC